ATTTGGTGTTATTTTGTTTGTTTATTTTCCCGCTCAAGTGGCTGGTTGAATCGCCCATTTTATTTATATTTCATAAGTGGCAGGTTGAACCGCCCATTTTATTTTGCTTGGTCGGCTAAGCCGCCTGTTTCACCGTTTTTTGTTATTGTTCACGTGTTTTATTCACATGAATTATTTATTCTGTGTGCCAATTTTTTCCCAACAACTGGTATCAGAGCCAGGCGCTGCTAATATTCACGTGAACAATTGAGGTGAATCAGAGCAAAATGATCACGCTGAATAGTTCAAACTATTAGCTGTGGAAAGGGAAAATGGAGGACCTTCTTTATGTGAAGGAATTTCATGAGCCTGTCTTTTCAAAACAAAAGCCAGACAGCATGAAGGATGAAGAATGGAGGCTACTCCATAGGCGAGTGTGTGGATTTATCCGGCAATGGATTGATGATAGTGTGCTGAATCATATCAATGATGAAACTAATGCACGCACACTATGGACAAAGCTAGATCAGCTTTTCCGGGCAAAGACTGGGCAAAATAAATTGTGCCATATAAAGAAATTGATGTACTCAAGGTACAAAGATGGCACTCCCACAACAGATCATGTTAATGATTTCCTTGGCATCATCAAGGAGTTAGCTAATTTGGGCATAGACTTTGATGATGAAGTGAATGGTCTGATTCTTCTCAACACCTAGCCGAAATCATGGGAGAGTTTTAGATCAACAACAATCAACTCATCTCCTGGTGGTCAAGTCACACTGGAAATTGCCAAAAACAAGATCTTTGAAGAGGAAAAAAGGATGCGGGCATTGGGAGTCTTCTCGCAACCAGCTACTCAAGCTCTTGTCACGGAGAATAGAGGCAAGAGTAAAACCAGAGAACCCAGAGGACGAGGAGGCAGATCCAAATCAAAGTCCAAAAGTGGAGTGAAATGCTATCATTGTGGCCAACTAGGCCACATGAAAAGGAATTGCTACTTGTTGAAAGGAAAAGACAAGAAAAAGGTTGAAGATAGCAATACAACCGCTGTAGCATCTACCAGTGGCGATGACGTGACTCTACTATGTGATCGTGGGGAGTGCTGCCATGTAGAAAACTCAGATGCTGAGTGGATAATTGATTCTGGTGCCTCTTATCATTGTGTTCCCAAAAGGGAATATTTTTCAACATACAAAGCAGGAGACTTTGGCACCATAAAAATGGGAAACAAGAGTGTTTCTCATATTATGGGAGTTGGTGATATCTGTGTCTAGACAAATGTTGGATGCACATTAACACTGAAAAATGTGCGACATGTTCCCAATATGCGTATGAATCTGTTGTCTGCAAAAGCACTGGATGAAGAAGGATACGCACACTACTTCGAGAATGGCAACTGGAAACTCACCAAAGGATCAATGGTGGTGGCAAAAGGGAGAGCATGTTGCTCATTTTACAAGACACACATGAAAATGTGTGAAGGTCAACTGAACACAATTGAAGATGAGGCTTCTCCAAATTTATGGCATAAAAGATTAGCTCACATGAGTGAGAAAGGATTACAACTTTTGGCTAAGCAATCCCTTGTTCCCATTGCCAAAAGTGGACATGTGAATCCTTGTGATGTTTGCCTATTTGGAAAGCAACACCGAGTTTCTTTTCAGAAGAATTTGACTCGGAAGGAGAACAAGCTAGACTTGGTCTACT